GTAAATGGCTTTAAGCACTTTGAAAATTATTGAACTTAATTAAAATCAAATAAACAGAATTGCTAATATTTAGATCGAAATGAAAATTAAAATAATAGTAAATACTTTAATTAAATACTTATGTTTTGCATTTGAATAGTTATTGCTATACACAATTCATTATACACAGACAACTGTTTGGATATAAGACATAAGCGTTTAATTAGTTTACTTACTATTATTTTAATTTTGGAAATACTATGCAATTTGTAAATATTGATTAAAAATTGTTTAAAGTATTATAAACATTTAAAAACTACTAAAATTAAAATTAATAAAATATAGTTACTATATGTTTAATATACTTCAAACCATTTTCAATAAATATTAAAAAATGGTGTAGTATTTGCAACTTTAAGATTTATTAAATTTTTAAATAAATAGTTTTTTTTAGCGTAACTAAAGTTGCATATGGTTATGTCCACCGCTAAATTCATGAATTCAAAGAAATATATATATTTGTGTGTGTGTGTAAAAGAATCAAACATAAGTCATATTTAAAAAGTTAATGATAGATATAGGTAGAAGAAATGGCAATCATAAGCTCAGAAATGGTAAAATAACTATTGTAATGTCACTCAGGCAGTCCAGGTTGTTAAAATAGGATAAAGTTTAAGTTCAATAAAAAAATAAATAAAAATTATAAACAAATAAAAAGGTTCAGGTTTAAAACAGTAGTTCAAACATATTTAAACTTTCCATGTTATATTTAAATTAACGTTGTGTCTAGTGCAATGGTACCATTGTTTTAATTTTTTATCTTAAAGTCATGGTAGTAAAGTTTGATTGGTTTATTTTAAGTCACAGCTACAAATATTATTGGTTGATTTTGAAAGTTTTATTTGTACAAGTTAAAAAAGAATTTCATATTCACATTGCAGGTTTAGCATTGTGGTATCTCATTGATTCATCTACCACGGTAATCTAGGATTGAGTCTTTCATTTGGAAAATTTTTTTAAAATTTTTTACTACAATTTTTATTAAATGTTACTATTATTGTTGTATATTGAAAGTTACATTGATTGACATCAAAGCCTCTCTATAAATATCTCTATAAATCTCAAATACGTCCTTGTATGAAATACTGTTGCCATATCTGAGGTGAATCTTCAAATGCTCTTTCTCTTTAAGACAAGGTGCAAAAACACATTTTAAACAGTTAGACCTGCTCTTGCAGATAATCTCCAACCGTTATCACATTGTTGTAATGTTACTCATCTATCTCTTTTCTATAAAGACTATTGTGGGCACTGCTCTAAAGAGCAGGCGTCTCTTGCACCATTTACAAAAATTAATTCTTGTGTTACTTGTCATTCAATTAAATCTCATCCTTTTTCTGTGACTGTTTCTAAGTGCTCCAAAAATTCTTATGTCTAGTGTTTTTCTTCGAACATCATTCCTTTGAAATTCTTTTAAGTTGTCTATGAAAGTTATCTTGCTCTATAAACTTCATCTTTTCTCTTTCAGTAACTTCCAGTTCTAATAGTGGTTGCTTGCAGCCTAGTTTGAAGTGAAGATTTTAAAACAAAAAAAAAAAACAACAAAAAAGTGTGGATCTCATTTTTCAGTTGTTTCCATAAGTTCTCAGTTGGATTCTCATGTGAGGAGTTTCTGGGTCATTCAAGTACTTTTATAGAATTTTTTACAAACCACTCCTTTAATTTTTTTTAAGTGTGGCATGGGGCACTATCCTGTTGAAAAATCCATTATTTATAGCCAGACCACTCCCTGGCTTGAGGAACTAGAAAACTTTCTAATACTTTGATGTACTTGATCTGGTTCATTATCCCCTCAGGTTTGTGTAGTCAACACAAACCTTCACCACAACACAAACCTTCAGGTTTGTGTGCCATACACAGATATGGCTTCCCAGACCATGATCTTTGTTGGAAATTTCACAGTCTTCTTCAAGCATTCAGGTTTAAACCTGAACTTCTTTGAACTATCTGGACTCTGTCATTTAAAACTACAATTGTGAACTTATCAGAAAAGACCACCTGATAAAGAAGTGACCCTTTAAACAAAAATTGAATACTCTTATATTTTAAATCATATTGTGTATAATTTTACATTTCAGTCAAAATCATGCCAGTAAAATGTTCAGAAATTACTGATAAAATGGTGTCTGTATCTTTAATATGCTCCAATCTCTTTCTATCCAGGTTTCATACTCTTTGGCCAAATATGTTGTGGTGCCTTCATTTGATTTGTCAACATAGGTTTTCCTCTTAGTCGATTTGTCTTCAGTCCAATTTCTAAAAGGGAGTTGTTCGCAGTTTGACAGCTTAAAAGTATACTTTTATCCGCAAATTCCATCACAATTTACAGGAGATTCTTCTGTTCGTTTGGGCCTTATTTGGCATCTTTTAGTCAAGTCTGTGTAGTGGAGTGCTTTTAACCACACTTTTAAAATCTTGAACTGTCTCTTTTAATTCCTGAAGATTTTTTCTTCATCAAACGTACAGTTTTTCAGCAATTTTTTTCTGCTTCAGTCCATTGTATTCAAGCAAACGGTTACTTGCCATATTTGATAGTGTTGAAAAAGGAAGTGTGCAAGTTAAAATTTTCAGTATTTTGAGTGTAATATTTATGTTTGTCACTTGTTTAAATAAAAAAGTTGTTAAATGAATTTGATAGTTTATTTTGAAGTAAATCAAACACGAAGAGACAATTATAATGCTATACAAGATCTTGAAATTTTAGAATTTTTAATTCATAAAACCTATTCTGGATATTAAATCATAAAGGAAAAAATGTCATAATTCTAATGGAAGTGCGTTGTAAACTGTTTATATGAATTAATAGAAAACTACCTTTTTGACTGCTCCTCTTAACAGTTCTTATAAAAGCTTTTGGTTTTTGCCTTTGAGAAAGAGAAAGTTTCTACTGCTTATAAAAAATGTTTTATATTTTTTTATATCAATAGAATTCTGGCATTTTAAGAATTATTACAACAGTTTAAAATTGCACAATAAAAGTGAATAATATATATCAAAATAAATAATGTATAAAATATATAATTCATTACATAAAATAAAATTTGTTATGCAAAAGTGTAATAATTTTATATTTTATTCAGTTCTAATCTAGTTAAAAACTTGTGCATTTCAATCAGCGCTCTTTTTAATTTTTATTATTATTTTCTTTTGTAAAAACTGTATCTTTTAAAAAGCATGTGCAACTTGCAAAAATTTTAATGTAACCATGTAGCAGTCAATTGGAGCTCCTGATCTCATTACCTTCAATAGAAATGTACCAGAAATTGTCAGCATTAACATTTTCAAAAAAAGTGTGACAGATTTTTTAACTTATCTCCAAAAAAAACTATATTATCAATACTTCTGTTTCTCGCATGAGATTATTATTTACTGATTCTATTATTATTATTAAATTTACTAAGATTATTATTGTTATGTTGAAAATCTTCTCAGATTTTTCTTTTTTAGACTAAATTTAATATTAATAATAACAATAATAGTAATAATTATATATATATATATATATATATATATATATATATATATATATATATATATATATATATATATATATATATATATATATATATATATATATATGTATATATATATGTATGTATGTATGTATGTATGTATGTATGTATGTATGTATGTATGTATGTATGTATGTATGTATGTATGTATGTATGTATATTTAGAAAATAGATTCTGTAATTATATTAACTTGAGTAAAAAAATTCAGTCTGCTTACTTAACATTAGTTTAAAATTTAATCTTATATTAATGAAAAAAAAAGATTTTCTTATATTTTAGATCTTCCCAAAATGACTAATTATTTATTAATGGTTTTAAGTATTAAAATATTTAATGTTTAATTTATATAATTTGTTACATTTAAAATTATTATTTAGCTATGGCGTGCTCGAAAGATTAAAGAGGTTTGATTTTATATTTGTATTAATAGCAATTTGTTATTTGATTTATTAAAGTTTAGGTTATATATTTAACAAGACTTTATTATTTATAATATATTATTATTATTAATGTGAATTAATTATACTATATTATTTGCATTTCTTGTAGGCTATTATTCATCCTGATACTGGAGAAAAAATATTTGCTCCATTTAGAATGTCAGGTAGTATGAATACCATAAATGTTGCTTTTTGAAAACTTAAAATTGTTACCATTGTGAATGGATAAAATGATATATTTAATTTCCTTTTTTTTAATTTTTTTACATAATTTTTTCACTTTTGACCCAGCAAGACAACTGTGAAAAGCCTTTATAACACAGCACAATATTATTACTTTGAAAAAATCTACACCGTAAATATAAATAACTAAACTACACAATAATAATATGCGAGTATATTTACACATTTAAAAAAAAATTAACAGTAAAGCTTCATTTTTTATTTCTTTCTTATTCCTGTTTTAAGACTGTTTACTCAAAACATCTCTCTTTTTTTCCTTTCCTTTGTTTTTAATAATTTCAGTGAGAATTAGTTTATTAGTTCAAGCCAATTACCTAGCTCCAACATCATATTTTATGAGTTTTATCATTGTTGTATTCTCCATGTTCATCTCTTTGGACATCTTCTTGATTCATTTCTAACAATGGTTTCTAACAATCTTGACTTTTACAGCCTTTATTTTTACTTTTTACTTGACTTTATTGCTGCTGGTGCTCTTTTAGATCTTGGTCTTCCACTGCCTTTTTTTTGTTCTACAAGACCCCAAGTCTGAAAACAAGTGAAACACAAAATATTGTTGCTCTACGTAGCTTTGGCAACTTGTTTGGGAGGAATCCAACAATAAGAATTTGATCAACTTTTTTGTTTCTTGACTTCATTTTTGCGTTTTTTTTTTTTTTTTTTTGACAAAAAATTTTGATCTGCACTTTATCTATCTATAGAATAAATAGATAAGTTATCTATCTACAGAAAGATCTTGTTTTTTTCAGCTTACCAGGTATTTAC